CATCAATATTCCACTGAGACTTTCTATAAACACTGAATAGTTCCCTTCATCAGCATTCTCATGGAGTGAAAGTAGATAGTCATGTATAGTTTGGTTTGGCTACTAGTAGTGAGGGTTGTTTATTTTATTCCTCTCAGAGCCTTAGTCCAAATGACTGAAATTCTAGGGCCAGAGCAGGGTTTGTAGCAAATGCTCTTCTTTTGGCAGATCTCCAAGACAAAGACAGACTGTTTATTTTATCTTAAACTGCTGTTAGTTCATGATTTATAGGATCAGAAGCCTTAGGGAGTATAAATTCATTCAACTTATATATAAGTAGAGTTGAAGTTAAACCAAAATATTTTTACAAAATCAGTGTAATCTTCTGGTCCTCAGCTGAGAAGGTTATTTTGTGTCATGCTTTGGAGTGAATTCTGTAGGCCACCAGATTAATTACTTTGATGTCATATTTGTACAGGGCCAAAAAATTTACGATTCTTTGGAAACAAATGAAACATGCTACCATGCCTCAAAAAACTTTCTCTTCTCTGAAATATATTGGGTTTTGCAGATACATGCCCATTTAGGAGATCACGTTTCCTCATCCCCTTAAGAGTTGTGTGTGCTTTGTGTTAGACATCCTGCATTCCCTGAAACAGAAGTGCACATTACCCCCTGGGAGGGAGGGAGTAGACACAACCATTATAGAAGATGATGATTCATGAGACCACCAGGACTATGCTCAGCACAATCTAAAACTGTGCAATCTAATGAAGTGTGTTTGGTGTATAAGCCATTCAATTGGGATCCCTTTTAGGTATGTACAGTGCCTGGTACAGTCCAAGTAGAAAATACTGGCAGCTGGCACAAAGCACAAGAAACTCTCTTGAAATCAGTATTTATCTTCAGGATCTCCTGTACCCCAAAGCAGAACAAACTGTAAACCCAGGGCTGTCATGATGTCAAGAGCTAGGAAATGAAGTAAAGTGGATGAAGGACCAGAGGTTTAGTTAGTGACACTAAATACCATGACAGTCAAACTTTCAGACAATTCCTCTGAATATCCTGGTAAAAGTAGCGCACATCCCAAATTCCTGAGTGTCTTCTGTTAGCTTTGTCCCAACTCCCCATCTCCTCTCCCCCAACCCACCTCCCTTTACATGTACCTTGTGCTACCTCAGGTGGTTTGGGAGTCCTATCACCTGCCCACTGTTCCAACTGAATTCCCTTCCGTGAAGCATTACCATTACAATTACCAAAGCCCTAAAAAGGGCCGAGGT